GATCCCCAGGCAGCAGGAAGAGAGCTGTCACTGGGTGAAGCTTGAGAATAGGAGACCTCAAAGCCCTTCCCCACAGTGACACACTATAAGGCTACACCCAATCCAACAAAGCTCCACCTCCTAATGGTGCCACTCCCTGAGATGATGGGGCCAGTGACCTTCCAACTCCCACACATGTACATAATGTATTTTGTCATTCTTGTGTCTCGTTAACCTTTCCCACTCTCCCTCCAGTTAGTTCCCCTTCCCCTTTGTTTTCATCTTTTCTTTTCCTTTTTGACCCATTGATTTTTATTAGGGTTTCTTTAGAGGAGCTGGATGAGGTTATTTACAGGAGCAGTGGTTCTGCAACTGAGGAAACCGTGTCTTCCTCACTATCAACCTTCAGTTGCCTCTACCTCCTCAGAGTGGTGTGGAACCTTCTCTCTCTCTACTCTTCCATGAGTTAGGTGCTTTTTCTGTAAGATGAATCTGCCATTTTGTAGGCTGTATATTAAAGAAGTCACTGTTAGAAGAAGGGACTTTGAACAGAACTTCCTTTAACTTGATTTGATCAGACATTTCAGGCAAACTTACTTCCTGTGGTTCTTCTTCCAGGCTCAAAAAATTGCTGAACATCGGAGAAAATACGAGCGAAAGCGTGAAGAGCGAGAGATAAAAGAAAGGATAGAAAGGGTGAAGAAGGCTCGAGAAGAGCATGAGAGAGCCCAGAGGGTAAATTGCTGCAGCTAACCGCTCAGGGCTGTCCTTGTCCTCTGTTCTTTCTGAGGTGGCTGCAGCATGTGGGGTGGTATCCCTAGGAGGAATGTCCTTTCATTCTGTCCTTTTTGTTCTTAGTGTCTAAGGTGATGTCAGCTTGCATTTCACCAACTTATATTTGTTTGGTTTTTTAACCTTGCAAATTTGGGCCAAGAGTATAATTTGCAGAGTGCTTCTCCAGCAGGGCAACCCTTTCTCCCATCCAAACTCCAAATTTCCTGGCCAGGTTAATTAAAATTGGATAGTACTATCTTTTTGTGTGGCACTAGACCTTCCCCATAGGATTCTTCCCCTCTGTGTTTTATAATTCCTCCCTTTCTAACTGTGGATTTATGGCTATTAAAAAAGATTCTAGGCATGCATCTGTAATCCCAGCATTCAGGAGGCTGAAGCAGGAGGAGTTTTAGTTTAAAGAGAGAAATGACTTAGAGAAAGCTGCATCACCAAAGCCCACCCAGCATAGGTGACAGCTTACCAAAAAGCTGGGAACCTGGAGCACACTGCACAGCCTTTTCCAGGCAACTCCGCTGGTCTCAGAGTCTGCAATTTGATTTGACTGTCAGTGATTCTGAGTAGCTTGGCTTGTTTACTCTTGGGAAGGAGACAACTTAAGAGAATCTGATCAGTTTCAGAGACTTTTAAGGGTATTTTGAGTTGTTTACCTCTCTGCTTAAACGGCTTCCCTTCAGGATGGACTGTTCAATGGGAACTGTTAGACAACAGTTGGTTTCTCAGTAGCAGCCTTTTTGTTTCCAGCATTGCTAAAGGGACATACAGCTATATATATATGTGTGTGTGTGTGTGTGTATATATATATAAATAATTATATATAGCTATACATAAGTAAGTCTTAGTTTTGGGGTCTTTCATAAGCATCATACTTTAAATATATTTAAATGTCATAGTTTATAACTATGTTTATAAACATAGTTTATAAAAAGTGTATATTTATTTGGTTCCCCTCTCTTCACATGAGAGGCAAGTGCTGGACCCCTGGGATAAGTCTATCTTGATGATTGTTTCTAACTAATTATGAAGGAAAGGTCTAATTTGCCTTTCTTTGTTATTAAAAACAACTCAGGAAGCCTTTTAAATTTTGCTGGGAAGAAGTAGAAGAGATGAACCTAGGAAATAATCTGGCCATGCCCTTTCATTTCGGAGTTTTAAAACAAGTGAGAATTCATAACTTAGATAAATAGAAGCATGTGCTTTACCTTTCCAGAAAAGTAAACATGTTAGAAATCATTAGTAAAATAAGGCCCAGTGACAGTTGGAAATGGTTCACCTGGTAGTTTGTTAAACCTTACCATTCTACTATCTTCTGTCTTATTTTTGATTTCCTAGATTTCTGTGGCTAGGTTATGAGGGAAAAGGCTTTCTTTTTTGTTGTTTTTCTTCTGTTACATAATTTGTTTTCATTTTGTCTTCAAGGAAGAAGAAGCCAGAAGACAGTCCGGAGCTCAATATGGCTCTTTTCCAGGTATTTTAAAAGGAAAATCTGTTAGTGTTATAAATAATTAAGATATATCCTGATTTTAGAGCTCAGGGGGTATGTATGTATATGGGAAGAGATAGATAGTTCTCGACACTCCAAAGAATATTAGTTATTGTTTGTAAAGTTCATTTTCATAAACAATTTTTGTTAATGGAAAAAAAGCATTATTTTCCTCCTTTGAGTTATAATACACTTTAAGAAAAGTTAATAGTTGTTGAGAGCTGAGTATTATACTTCAGGTAATTTGTTATAATGTAATCTAAGTTTCTAAACCAGTAAGATTATGTTCTGTTACATGTGATAATATTTATATTCATAGGATATATGATATTGCCTAAATAGGATATTGCCTAAAAACACAGGGCTGGCTGAGTGCACACCTTTTATCCCAGCACTTGGGAGGCAGAGACAGGAGGGTCTCTGTGAGTTTTGAGGCCAGCCTGGTCTACAGAGTGAGTTCCAGGTCAGCCAGGGCTACACAGAGAAGCCCTGTCTTAAAATGTCTTGAAAATCCAAAGAGGGAGAGACTATGTTCATTTGTGTGTGTGTGTGTGTGTGTGTGTGTGTGTGTGTGTGTGTATGTTTGTGTGTGTGAAGGCTTGAGAATTGTTTGGATCCCCTGGAACTGGAGTTAACAGTCATTCGTTAGTTGTGAGCCTTCCAAATTGGATACTGGAAACTGAAGTCTTTTTGCTCTTTTCGAAGACCAACAAGCACTCCTAACTGCTGAGGTGTCTTTCTAGGCACTCATTTCTGTCTTGTAAATGTCTTACAGTCAGAAATTATTGGCAAAACAAAGCTTTTGAATGTTAGCAAAGGACAAGCATTCAGATAGGTGAGGGGAAAAGAAAGTAAGTTTTGCTGCTTGAAAGAGGCAGTGTGAGGTTTATATAAACAATACACTTAAATGGGTTTTGTGGATTTATTTTTAAAAGGCTGTCTTCTACTTGGTGGTAACTAGTTTTCTCTCAAGGAAAATTTAGACACTGGTTTATGCTTATATACCATTGGGTAGAACCATTTATTCTAAAGCTAGAAAATGGAACATGTGTTATCCGTGCGATAGTGGTTCATACAGATAGGCAGATCTTTGAGGTCAGCCTGGTCTACTTAGCGAGTTCCAGGACAGCCAGGGCAACATGGAAAATCTCCATTTTGAAAAAGCAAACCAAAAAAGAGGAAGATATAATGTAGCGTTTTCATCAACAATAAGATGATGGAAAAATTACAGCTCATAGCTTACTTCTAGCTTAAAATATGAATCTGATTGTCAGTTCCCTTTGTTATAGAGAAAGCTTTATTAATGTGAACTAATACTAGATTTAGCTATTCTCTGTGCATTTTGGTATCTAATTTAGCAAGCATTGTTCCAGTAACTTCATCATGGGAAGGAAGTGATCTTGGAAAGCCTATGAGAACAAACTAGAGAAGAAGCTTCCAAGTTTGTGTTTTTCCTGCCTCTTCCTCATGTTACAGTGCTTATAGGCATGCTTGATTTACTATACAGAAACCAAGAGGCTGGAGAGATGTCTCAGAGGTTGAGAGTGCTTGCTGTACAGTTACATATGGATAGGACTTCAGATCCATGCACTCAAGACAAGCCAGGCATCAGATACCCAGGACTCCAGTTGCAGGGCATCTAATGTCCGCTTCTGGCCTCAGTGTGCACACAGGCTGAATACCCACACACCCATACTCACATACAAATGGAATCTTTGGAAAACTCAAGTAGAAAATAGTGTGGGTTCTGCCATATGTGCCATTCTGTCTTAAAAAATGCCTGTAATCCTACTTTAGGGATTAGATGGACTGCCATAAATTTGAGGGTAGTTTGAGCTACATAGGTAAGATCTCAGCTAAACATAACAAAGCCCCAAGTTATTTCTTAATAATTGTATATTATCATTTTTTAGAGATTTGACTTGATTATTTAGAATGGGACTCATAAATACATAGATTCACCAGGCACACTTGTCATCTCAGATAGTCCTGGCTAGTTTTATGTCAACTGACACAAGCTAGAGTCGCCTGAAAAGAGGGACCCTCAATTGAGAGAATGCCTCTGTAAGATGTAGATGTAGGGCATTTTCATTTTTTGAGACAGGGTTTCTCTGTGTAACAGTCCTGGCTGCCCTAGAACTCGCTTTGTAGACCAGGCTGGCCTTGAAGTCACTGAGATCCACCTGCCTCTGCCTCCCCAATGTTGGGATTAAAGGTATGCGCCACCACTGTCTGGCTGGGAGAGCATTTTCTTATTTCGTGATTGGTGGGAGAGGGTCCAGCCTTTTGTGGGTGGTGCTGTCCTTGAGCTGGGTTCCATAAGAAAGCAGGTTGTTCAAGCCATGATGAGCAAGCCAGTAAGCAGCATTCCTCCACGACCTCTGCATCAGCTCCTGCCTCCAGGTTCCTGCCCTGTTTGAGTTCCTGTCCTGACCTACTTCAGTGATACAGAAGTATAAGCCAGATAAACCCTTTCCTCCCCAACTTGCTTTTGTTCATACTATGTTTTTCATCACAGTAATAGTAACCCTAGCCTAGGACAGTCTTAGGAGGTGGAGGCCAGAAGCTCAGGATTTCTTGGCCAGCTTCACCTACAGAGCAAAATTTGAGCCTGCCCAGGCTCTACATTACTGTCTCATTCAATAAAAAGAGAAAGAAATTAATAAATTTTTGTTTACTTTAGGTAAGGCTTGAGAAATAACTGCTCTGGATGAATGTCAGAATGAAATTAAACAAGTTTAGACTGATAGAATTAACTTTAAATTGAAACAAAAATACTCCAGAATGAGAAATTCAAAGATGATTGAGCCAGCATGGTGATGCACACTTGCAGTCTTTGCATTAGGAGGATGGGGGAGGAAATGAAGAGTTAGGACAGCCTGGGCTGTACATACATTCATTGCAAGTTCCAGGACAGCCACCCTCCTATATCAAACACCTCAACCTTCCCACCTGCCCCTCAAATAAGAGGAAAAAAAACAATGACACACCTGGCATTAATGTTTGGGGAGGACCAGCACATTTTGATTCTTTATTTTTAAGGCAGGATTAGTTTTGTTGAACCTTTTTAAGTAATGAAAAACAAGTCCAGAAAGGAGTAAAGTCTGTTTTACAGCTTTACCTTTAGGAAAAATTAGAAGTTACGCTAGATAGCCTGCTATGTTGGGAATAAAATGTTAAATGCCCAGTGGCCGTCCTTGTTCCTCACTCTCCTGTACTTGAGTATTGGAGAGAATGAAATTTGTTGATATCCCTAATTATTTCCTTTATCCTTATAGGTGGTTTTCCTGGGGGTATGCCTGGTAATTTCCCTGGAGGAATGCCTGGAATGGGCGCTGGCATGCCTGGAATGGCAGGAATGCCTGGACTCAATGAAATCCT